TATATATATCCATATCCTTATATATATATATATATATATATATATATGGATATATATATAAGGCTAGAGTGTAGAATGATATCCTGCTGTATATGCAGCGAATAACTCTTAAAATTTGCAAAAGCTCATTACGTATTGGAATATTCATTTATATATTATTCATAATTAGATTTTAAAAATGTATCTACATGGAAAGTTATGTAACAATTAAGTGCCAATGAAGAGAACTGTTCTTCGCGCGAAACGAGTCGGGTAGATTTACTTTAGTCTGAAAACTTCATATATAAACAATTTTATTGTGAATGTTTCGATTGTATAGTGGGCGAACCTTTGTTAGTTTTCCCGCCAATAATATTATTATTAAAGCACCAAAAGGCAGAAAATAGTATTTTGGACCCCAAAAAAGAAGAGTGCTATACGTCAGTCCGTACAATTGTCAGCTAAAGCTTGTATCCTGCTTGTATTATTTATAATTTTTTTTTGTATGTGTATCATTTTTATGCTGGAGAGTATGATATATGCATATGGAGCATATGAATCGGATGGGGCTCAGCGTCTCTCCTAGTGGGCACTTTGATTGTAGAGTTTATTTTACTTTTGTATGTATGTATACATATTTTATATCATTTTGTTCTTTGCATTTTATATTGTGGATACTTTGCCTAAATTTATGAAAAGATATAAATAAATTGCGAAAAGCGGCACTAAATGGTCGTGAGTTCCTAATTTTATATATGAATAAATATGAAAAATATGTAAAACAAAAAAACCAGTATAATTTAAATATTGATTAGAACAAGTTAATTTTACACCTTACTATATGTATGTATATATTCAGCAAAAATTTAATACCTGTAACTTGTATCGCGATCTCTATTGTCGATTTTAGGAGAAAGTATTTTTTGAATCACAGATGAAGACGCTACAGAGGTGTTTATTGAAGGCGAGGGCATCGCTGTCATCAAACTCTGTACAGTAAGGACTGATGCATTACTTGTACTAGTCGTTGAAGTTGTAGTACAACGTAAAAGTGACTGTTGGGTCGTCGATGTTGTATGCACGAACTGCGGATATGAGTTTGCTACTTGAGGAACATGGGATTGATATCCAGATTGGGGAAGCATCGGCGCAGAAGGTTGCGTTTGCGAAGTACCAACTGTTGTTGAAATTGGTGGTCCAGTGGTTGAAGTACTAAATGCAGCTGGTAAAAGATGTGATTGTGTCGAATGTAACGAAGGTACGCTCGTTGTTGTTGTCATAGGAATGGTCCCTAATACCTGCGTTGTATTATTATTGCTAATCATATAGCCTAATGGTGTTAAAGATCGCAATCCTGCAATGTTATTAGCACTGTGCTGATTCAGTGCAGATGCACTCGTTACTGGCATTTTTAAAGATGTCATTGGCTGCGTCTCCCGACAGTTTCGATTATCCGAACGTTGAGACAAAGATGAGGTATTCGAATTTCCCATTGGTATTGCTGATGGAAGGTATTGTCCATGAGTTATGTTATTATAGGGTGTATATAAAGTTGAATAATTAGGGAAAGGTGAACGGTATGGCGTTGCTTGAATTAGCATGGGTAACCCAGCACTCGAGTGAGACATCAGTGGAGATGCCCCATGAAACACCAATGAAGATCCCGTCGCCCCTACTGAACTAGTTCCTGTACTAAGAGATGATTTCGTTATGGCCGAGCCCGCCACTACAACGGACCCAACTACCGTATTAGATGGAATGGGCAAAACCTTATTTCCTGAATGAGGAGAAACATTCAGTAGACTTTTTCCAACAGCTGATGTCGTTGTACAGCTGACAGTTGAATGACTACAAAGGAATCCATTGGCCACTGGAGATGTAGACAAAGAAACATTTACATTTTTCTGCGACTCTACAGCACCAGCGGTTGTTCTCCCATCAATATTTAGCTGTTGGTGATCATTTGTCTTGTAGTTTGATGAAAGCACTACATTAGGCGGTCGGTCCGCAAATGATCCATGCAATGATGCTAAAGTAACGGGTGCTAAAGGGGTACCCAAAGAAATTGTGTCCATTCCATTTGATGTTACAATTTTTTTAGTGCTTAAAGTTGTTCCTTTTGTAGTTGTACATGGAGTTAGTTCAAGTCCAGGATGTGCAGCCTCCGAAGCAAGATACGATTCGCAATCAGAAATGCTTGCGTTTGTTACCTAAGTAATATTCAAAGAATTTTAAAACATAATTGTATTACAAACTCAACTTCACTTACTGGTGTGGAGCACGTGACAGCAGGATGCTTGGTATGTGATGCGTTATCTGTTCCCGTATTTAAATGTTGGTTATCTCCATTAGGTGTTGCGGTCTTCGACATTAAGAGTGTTGATGGTATCAAACTCACTGTTTGAATATTTGTAGATTGGGCTGTAATCTCAATCTCGGTGAGCGTTGTACAAGATCCATTTGGTGCCGTACCAGATAAAGTGGTTGCTGGAGGACTTGTATCTGGCATTGATAAACCCGTTAAAGTATCGATGTCGCATACATTTACAGTAAGACATCCCGTTCGACTAGTCTGTAGTGGTATACAATTTGTTAAATTAAGTATCGTTTCAGAAACCAAACAAAGACAGTTTTAGAAATCTGCTCAATTAACATTTTTAACAATACTTGATGACATTAAATAATGGTATTTCAAAAAAACGAAACCGATAAGTTTTCAAATTAAAGCTTAGAGCTACGCAATTCTACACACATATACATAGCTGTAATAGCTTTTAATATGAGAGCCGCACATGCAATTTAGGTCCATAGAATTAGTAGATTTGACAGAATGACAATAAGCATAGACTTTGTGACTATACATTTTTATACCCTGGACCCACTGACGGAACTTCGCATGGGAAATCGGGGCACTTCGATATGAATTCTTCGAAGGGTTCAGGGGATTTCGTAGTCGATCAGTCTCGACTAGAGCTTTCCTATTATCCTATCCTATCCAGTAAAAAAAAATGTATTAAATAGGCCCATGTGTGATTATACGTGTAAATATGTATACGTGTGTGCCTATTTTATCTCTTGAAGAATCATTTACAACTAAAGCTTTTTTATTGTTTTGTTCTTCGGATGTCGACGCATGTATGTGTATCCGTGCACAACAAATATTTGTTAATATAAATAAATATTGTTAATATAATAATATTTGTTAATATATTATATATTATTGGATATGGAATGCGTATTCAAAATTTAGTCTCTGTAATTTAAAATAACAGTGTTTCTGTCAGTTAAGTCTTACTATTTAATAGATTATAGAGAGCTGCATGGCCGCACACATAACCTATCAAAATAGAGCCCATTCGAATTAAAACTGAGTGAGTGAAGGACCTTAAACATGTTGAGAAAGTTGTAGTTCGCATGGACTCTATGACTCGTATCTAACTGCCTTCACTAAAACATGGAAGAAAGCTCTAGTCGAAACTGCTCGACTACGAGATCCCCTGAACCCTTCAAGCAACTGATATTTCAATAATA